ATTACACAAAACTACTTAATTTTTTTATAATATATATATATATATATATATATATATATATATATATATATATATATATATATATATATATATATATATATATATATATATATATATATATATATATATATTTTTACCACATTCACACAACACCATCTAGTCCTTAACTAAGCAGAGCTTGTACTATGGGTACTAGACAGCTGTTATAAATACATTTATACTTTTTTTTTGTAAATACATACATATTATACATAGACACACCCAGACCAAATCAAACATTAAATGTTCATGCACACAAAATGTTTGACTTGAGCGGGAATCGAACCCGCGACCTTTGGAATAGCAGTCCTTTACACAAACCACTACGACATCCGGTCGTCAAATTTCATTTAAAAAATCAATTTATAAATGATGACGACTCTATTGCCACAAAATCAAAAGCAACTAACCCCGTTTAACATCCCCGTAGCTTTTAGTTGCCTGATAAACTTATCAGGTAATTAAAAGCTACGAGGATGTTGAACGGGGAATGCTACTGCCAATCCTCAGTTGGGCGGATACAATGCAGAAACTCCAGGGCACTACCCTAAAATTCTTAAAGGTAATGTTTATGTTGCGCTAAGTCGCGTAAAGAGCAGAGCTCTAAGTAATGGGCAACACCATCATTATGTCAATAATGATAGTGTTGCTACATTACAGGTTACTATGTCGGCATCTTAAAGTGTCATCTAACTCCTAACCGTTAAGAAGTTATAACTTCCATCATCAGCTCACTTGAATGACTTGAAAGAATACATCTAAAAGTCTAAACACACATATGATATTTAAAGAACTATTCTCCAACTCCTAACCGTTTAAGAGGTGTACCTTCCGTCACCAGCGCACGATAATGACTACCTGACGCAAATACTAGAATAGCTTTAGAAAATATTTGAAACACATAATACGTGCCTATAAAGTTTGAGGGTTGCCCTCGATTTCCCTGGGGATCCCCTAATCAGATCCTGACTTCGTGACAATGAGAATACCTCTTATTCTCTTTTCAATAAAATAGAATTTTGGAAATCCGTCTACAATTGACGGAGTAATCGGTTAACATACATAAACAAAATATACAGTGGAAGATAGTCTCCTTTTTTTTGAAGTCGGTTAAAAAACTCCGCGATGGTAAATGGGTATCCTAAGGAGGAGGAGGTAGGAGATCCTAAGGATAACCCACAGTAACCATTTTTTTCGTCTAGGGTGGCAGCGGCGGGCAGGAACGGAGCAGGCTTATAAATATTTCATATAAAGATGTCCTGTGGTGTATATTTACTTTACTATAATACTTGCCTTTCATTTACTAAATATGCATGTACATATAAACCTTCCACTTGAATCACTCTATTGGTGAAAACCGCATTAAAATTCTTTGCTAGTTTTAAGGGTCTAAGCAAGTGCGTGCGTATAGCAAAAAGTGTCGTAAAAAGTCTTGTTACAGATTTTTTCGGTCTAGCTCCAATCCGCTCAGAGCGTGTGACACAAAAAACGAAAGTTAAGGGTAATTTATCGCACTTAAGCGTCGAAGTTTAAGACCTAAATCAGGGATTCCCAAACTATTTTGGGTATGAGACCCTTTTTCCAAAATGAATTGAGACCTCAGACCCTCATAGCAAAATTAGTTTAAAAATCTTTTCTCTAGTTTCTTTTCTATTGATACAAAATACTTACCAATTTAAAAACTTTTCGGCTGGTTAAGTGAGTAAAATTGACTTCATTTTCTCATCAAAATTTAACAAAAAGTACACAAAGTACAGTAAATATCTAGTGTGACTAATAATTATTAATACAAATTACGTAAAAACACTAAGAAAAAAAAAATCAGTGTGATAGATGAACGTCATAAGCTCTCTACCAATCTAGCTAAATCTGATTCAATATTGGTGAGTTGCAGACTTAAATATCCGCGTTCGTTGATTATGAAACGGTTTTTTTGGTTTGTCAAAATGCTTGTTACCACACTGAAGCCTTTTTGACTAGGTACGATGATGGGAAAGTTATAAAGTATTTTTCAGCAATGATTCACATTGCAGGATACCGTGTTTCAATGTTGAGCTGCAATCTGAATTTCTGATAGCCTTGGTTAAACTTCTGCTTACGCTCCTCGTCTCTGCTGATGGAGATCAACTCTTCTTACATTATCAATTTAGCTTCTTTCATGGCTGTGATCTTGTACTGATCTATTATCCATTGTTTCCAATCCAATCTAATTATCCACTTGTACATTTAAGATATCCTCTAATAATATAAATTTATGAAATAATAAAATATTTGAAGATTTAATTTGACCCAAGTACGTTGTGTCAGATTAGCCATCACGAATACAAGGGATGCGTGATGACATTATTATATTATGAAACATTTTATCGATAATCGATTTTACTAGCTTTGGCTGAAATATCTACCGCAGTAGGAATCGGCAAGGTGACCGCTTAAACCACTGCACCATCCGTGTACTCGAAATCGAAGTGAATCGAACAAATTATATTTAATATATCGAACATATCCTGACAACAGAGCGTCATTACCGGGTAATGTAGACTCGTCCAACTGTAGAGAGAATCTGTTGGTCTGTAAGAAATTGAATAAAATGTTATCCACGTCTCGACCCATCTCGTCTATCGTCTTTAAACAATGTTACTGCTCAATGGAATTCTCTTTATAATAGACGTGTAAGCGTAACAAACAAACAAACTCACTTTCAGACTTATAAAAAAAAATTAGTAATAATCTTCTACCACATTCACACAACGCCATCTAGTCCCAAACTAAGCAGAACTTGTACTATGGCTACTAGACAACTGATATAAATACATATATACCTTTTTTTTTGTAAATACATTCATATCATACATAGAAATATCCAGACCGAATCAAACATTAACTGTTCATGCACACATGTTTGACTTGAGCGGGAATCTAACCGCGACCTTTGGAATAGCAGGCCGTTACACAAACCAGTACGCCATTCGGTCGTCAATATGGGTATGGAAATAATTATTAATCATTTAACGACTACAATCTCTCATAAAATCTCACCGGATAAAGGATTAAGGAGGAGTCAAATTTCTAGCTTCCCATGGCCCAGCCAACATCTTGATTATAACGTCCCACACGCTACTTGTTCAGAAACTCAATTCTCGTAATAAAAATTTGTTCAAAATTCAATATCCATATACTCTCGATCTCACAAATGTCATAAAAAATATTCTCCTAGTAAAGTATGAAACGACACGCTTATATTAGCTTCACTTGTATGTTTGTTTGTATGTTTATTTGTAACCGACTCCTTTTGGCATGATTTTGACTGAATTTAAACGGTCAGAATTCGTTCAAACTTTGTAGATAAATCGAGGACCGATGACAATACACTAATTTAAAAAAAAAATAGTTTTAAAAAACACGCTTTTTATAGAAAATCTTTTTACTATTGACAACAGGCACCCAACGCTTTTTTTCAAATTTATTAAAATTTATTTTTTATTTTTTAGTTCGGTTTTCTATAAAAAGCGTGTTTTTTAGTTTTTTAAAACTATTTATTTTTCTTAATATTTTGTTATTACGAGAATTGGTCTTCAGGGCTTTTTGACTTGACTGAACTTCTTGAGGAGGGGTCGATGGGCAAAGAGACCACGTAATTGAAGGATACATCCTCAGCAACAGCAACAGTCACTATGTATAACACAGAGCCTCCTTCGAGATCTTTATTTTTGCTGATGTTAAAACCGCTCATTTGGAATAAAAAGTCAATTTCAATGTTATGAGTGTACTTATATTTTTAATTATGATTTTTACAGCTGTTGATTTTGCAAGCTGCCGATATATACCGATAGACCAACTAGCTTGTCAATTAGACTAAGAGAGAGATTCATACTTCAGTTTCGTCATCTTTCTGCTTGCTTTTGTCCCAATTTTTCTAGGGCCGATGCTGACGCCGACCCTCTTGAGGAATGACAATCATGCTTCAGTCTAATATCGTTTACTTAACAAAAGATTAAATAAAATTACAAATTCGAATTTCAGTTTTTGACTGACTGGCTGACTTAAAAACTTTGAACCAATAAAAAATCAGAATCAGAATAGTACACTACTTTCATAAGCTTAAAGACTAAATTATTAACAGAAATATTAAATTGAGTAGGTGCCTATTATAACTTTTGAAGTCACTACTTACTAAGAATAAATAGTTTTTTTATAAATTAACCTAAAACAAAAGTAACTGATCAAACACTAGCAGGATATGTAGTCATAGATGGCTAATTTTACTTTTCACTCAGTCAGGACTTTAAGTTATGGGCGCGTATGTGACTGTCGAATTATACCATATGTCAAATGTCGAATTATGCCAAGAGCGGATCCAACTTTTAACTTGGAATCGTTCCAGATAGATCCAAGTAATCCAGCCTAGGAGAGATCATGACCCTCGTGACAGTCGTGACCCTCCCCCTCTCTTGGATCCTGACATCATATCTGCTATTTGATATATTAGTATTGGTTTCAAGTACTAAGTGATACTTCATTCATTTTTTATCTTTTTGAGCTCAGTTTACTTTACTGCAGAGTCACAGTTTAGAAACCTTCAGATCTTATAAGCTATTCTTTGTATTTCCCACTGCCTGATGCGCACCCTAGTTTATTCTTTAGCGGAGCAAAGAATATCCAGTGAAGTTTCTTCTGCTCTATCTAGTGCTGTGCTTTCGCTCGGTTTTAGGATGAATCCGATAAGGATGTGTACTGGAGTGACTACCGCCGAACCGAATTCAAGAGTCACCAGTACGTTGCCGGCCTTTGTGGTGGGAGGACGCTCTTTTCTTGAAGGTTTGGAGGTCTTTTGGTACTTTCTCATCATAGCTTTCGAGTGTTAAAGACCTGTGAATTTTTTTCTGTGTATCGGGCGATTGTGTTTCTGTAGGTTTGCTATTTCGCAGAGTTGTTCCAATCTAACTAAACACTAAGATATCTCAAACTTCGGGTTGATTTGTCACTAATTGGTTAGAACCATTGCAGTATTTAATTAAGTAGTAACATCTCACAACGAAGAAGAAGAACAGATTCATTACTGAAACAAAACATTAAAGAATATTAAATAAATTATTTCGCCATTACGATAGTGAATAATAATAGTTGTATGGGGATCAGTCTATCGTCAGTATATCACAGACAGATTTCGAGTCGCGCAATAACTGACGATCTCGCGTTCCTTATGATGAGAATCTCGTGAAAGTTGAAATTCATTCATTCTTCTTAGAACCAAGCGATAACACGGCAATAGAACACATAATTATGTCATTACCCCATGTCTAGATGTAGGACACTACCCGACCCATAAAAAAGTCCAGAGGCATATAGTGAAACCGCTAACCTATATTGTCAATGGTTATCAACATAAATTGTTTTACTTATATTGTATTTATAATATGTATTTGTATGTATATGTGTGTATTTATAATTATAAAATATATATTTATATATAAACCCTATTTTCTGAGTTCATAAGATAGATAGATAAATAGATAGGTACTCTTTATTGCACACCATAATTGGGATACATACGACGAAAAATACAAAAAAACAGTTGTGTGTGTGCAACTCACACACGGCAGCAGTGACTCTTCCGTTTTATTTTGTATCTTAGAAAAACCGGTAATCGAAATTATAAAATTCCAGAATTAGAATTTGAAAAACGCTGCCTTAGTGGTAGTCTATACAAATCTATACAAATAAATAAAATAGGAGTGTCTGTTTGTAATATTAAAATAACCGCTTTTTACTAAATGCATATGTATGTTTACACGATACATTTGCCAAAATAACATTTTTTAGAATTTTTGTCTGTCTGTTTGTCTGTCTGTCTGTTTGTTCCGGGTAATCTCTGGAACGGCTGAACCGATTTCGACGGGACTTTTACTGGCAGATAGCTGATGACATAAGGAGTAACTTAGGCTACTTTTTTTAGACTAGCTTCGCCCCGCGGCGTGGCCCGCGGTTATAACAACAAACGCGGGTAACACTGCGGGTCTCAGCTAGTATCAAATAAAAACATAATAATATCCATACTGTCAAAATGTTATATTAAAAATAACTTTTTTTTATCTCATTTTCTCGCCGACTTAATCCTATTTATGTGTATGTTTATCGTGACGCATTTTCGTTTCATCCAGTTTCAAATCACAACGGTTCTAAAGAATTTTTACTTCAAAAACAGTTATACAATGAGCAGATGGACTATACTATAGCAACCTTTAGATGGACTATACTATATAGTAATATGTAGCCTGTGGTCCGTGTTTACAATTTCTGTACTTGACTAATATTTACATACATAATTACACACACATATTCATACACTTACATACATATATCTAATGTCTTTAAACAAGCAATTCTTGTATACGGGGTTACTGGGTAACTCGACCTAAAACTTTAAGGGGTTATAGTTGCCATAATTTCTGATAGATTTCACTATGAAATACCCAACCACTTGAACCCAACCCAACAACCCACTAAAAATTGCCGAAATTTTGCTTAATAATAATTTTCAAAAATGTTTTATTTTTATTTTTTGAGGCATATTTGTAAAAAAATCTATGACACCGAGATGAAATTTATTATATTAAGAATTAGCGTACAACCCGGTAGTCATCATCAATCATCATCAACAGCCTCTAACAGTCCACTGCTGGACATAGGCCTCTCCTTGCAATGGAGGTTTTGGCCTACTATACCACGCTGGCCAGGGTTGGTATAGGAGTTTTCCGTCTTTTTGCAATGCTGTTGTCCTGCAGAGTTTGTACCCTTAGTCGGGATGAATATGGGTGGTGACACTCTGTATTCCTAATCCGTCACCACACGGATAGATAGTACCTAGTTGAAAACTTGGCTTCTATTTTTGAACTGTTTCGTTTTCTATTCGGGACTAACTATTGCTAACTGGACTTTGATACTGTTGGAGATAATGACCTATACGAACGAGGACTATGCTGATATTCTGGTTTGTTACGAATACTGCCAATGCGTATCCGCACGAGCCACCCAACCAACTTATTACTAATTAGAATCCAGCTATTCTTTCTCCCTTCTCCTATAATGCGCAGGACAATCACCATGCTGAAACCTCATGCCACGAATGAGATGAGATCAAGTGGTAGGTAAATCATCAAGTGAGTTAGTTCAATTTTGTACCTATAAAGTTATCGTAGTGTTCTCGGATACAAAAAAATACAATCAAGTGGTTTGACAATGCCATGCAATTACCAAAAAAAAAAATACCCAGCATAGCTCGGTCATCCAGGTATAATATGAATAAGGTTACACGTTACGTGCATAAGGTTACATTAAAAATTGTTACTTCAATAATAAAAAATAAACACTTACAGAAAGAAAGCACCATAGAGAAAAAGCCACGGAAACCCATCTTCTTTGGTTGAACAAATATGTTGACGAAAAACCCTAACGCCATTAGCACTAAGTATACCACAATATAAATACAATATGCTTTAACGTACAGTCGTCTGTCCTGAAACAGAAAGAATAATAAGCTGAATATGCTGCAGCCAAATATGTCAAAACAACTTAACTAAAATGGTAAAATGTGGTTGCGATCCCCTGAGCCACTGAGGGCATTAAAAAAATGCGCAAATGCGCTTTTGACTGTAATGTTAGTCAATAGTACCTGGCCTTTGCCTATTCCTTCAGAGTCACATACAAATCAGTATATGTATGTCATCATCATCAACTTTTAACAGTCCACTGCTGGACATAGGCCTCTCCTTCGAAAGGAGATTTTGGCCTACTATACCACGCTGGCCAGACGGGTTGGTATAGGGTTTGTATTACCCTCGTGACAGCCCGGGGGGCAAACTTCCAAGAGGCGGCGCGCCTGGCCACAGGGGGAGTCTCCCTGGTGGTCGGGCGCATTGAGGCGCTGGGCTTACGGGTGGCCCTAGATAAGACGGAGGCCCTGTTATTTCATGGGCCCCGTCGTGGTCCACCCCCTGCCGCCTCAATCGTGGTCAACTCGGTCCTCGTACCGGTTCGGGCCCAGATGAAATATCTGGGCCTGATCCTCGACGGGAGGTGGCTCTTCGACGAGCACTTCCGACAGCTTGCTCCAAAGCTGGTCGGCGCTGCGTCCGCCCTAGGGCGACTTTTGCCCAATATGGGTGGACCCAGCGTCGCGACAAGACGGCTGTACACGGGGGTTGTCCGGTCAATGGCACTGTACGGTGCACCGGTGTGGGCGGCAGCTCTGACCGCCCAGAATAGGGTACGCCTCTGGCGCCCTCAGAGGGTAATGGCGGTCAGAGCCATACGCGGTTACCGCACCGTTTCGACGGAGGTGGCGTGCGCGTTGGCCGGAACTCCCCCGTGGGATTTGGAGGCGGAAGTGCTCGCCGAAGTTTATCGGCGAGTGGCTGACTCCCGGGCGGAGAGCGTATTTCGCCCTCCGCCCGAGGATGTGCGTGAGTGGCGCGAAGCCGCTCGCCGAGCCACGATGGCTCGTTGGTCGTTCCGGCTGGAGACTCCACGCGCTGGCTTCGCCGCCGTGGAGGCTCTCCAGCCGGTCATCGCCGAGTGGGCAGGGCGGCAGCACGGGACGCTTTCCTTCCGGCTGACGCAGGTGCTTTCCGGGCACGGTTGCTTCGGAAAGTACCTGCACACGGTCGCTAGGAGGGAACTGAGTCCCGCCTGCCACCATTGCGACTGCAATGAGGACTCGGCCCAGCACACGCTGGCGGTCTGCCCCGCATGGGCGGCGCAGCGCCGGGCCCTCACTGCAGTCATCGGAGTGGATCTCTCGCTACCGGCCGTAGTACGCTCCATGGCCGGTAGCGACAGTTGTTTTACCGCGGTCGCAACCTTCTGCGAGGTAGTAATCTCGCGGAAGGAGGCGGCGGAGAGGGCCCGGGAGGACGACCTCCACTCGGACCCGATCCGCCGCCGGCGAACCGGGCGGCGGAGGCCCGCCTACCACAGCCTCATGCCGCCCTGAGTGTGGCCGCGGGTGGACGGGGTGGGTTTCCCCTCCACCCGCATTAGTTTGGCCAGCCGCGAGGGGGCGGCGTCCGCGTGTGCCGGACGTCGCCTAAAGAGAGGAACAACAACAACATTGAGACGGAGCCCGCACCAGGAGCGGGCTGGCGCTAGGAGGGGTCCGGATGTCTTAACAACAGCTGTTCCCGGATCCCTCCTGTTACAGGCGCAGAGTGGCACACCGTGTGGTTTTAGTCGGTCCGAGTCCGACACACCACCCCGCCGCAAACCCCGGAGGGGTGACGGTCCGAGGGGATTTCCACACGTAAAAAAAAAAAAAAACAAAAAAAAAAAGGGTTTGTATCAAGTTTTCCTTCTCTTTGGAGTGCTGTTGTCCTGCGTAGTTTGCTCCCTTAGTCGGTTCTTACGATACCCACGAGATAAATAGAGGTGGTGACACACTGTATTCTTTCTCCGGGACCACACGGATGTACTGAGATATGTGTAACTTACTTTATGCAATCCAAGTAGTAGAACAACTGAAATAATGATGCAGAACAAAGACACGAAGCCGGTGATGACCATTGATGTGGTGTCAGCATTTTGAACTACATTCGATACTGAAGATGGGTTGAAGACTAATATGAAGAAGGCGCTTATCCAAAGGATCTGGAAACCATTTACATTCATAATTAACATTAACTGTTTATATGAAGATATAGTAATAATATCTTCACACATCTCACATACGATACATATGATAGATCAATTACCCAGACACATAACACAGATGATTGTGTCTATTACACAAATTATTTGTCCTAAATGGGAACCTACGACCTCCTAGGAATAAGGTTCTCTAATCACTATACCAACAGGCCCGTCAAATAAATACAGCCTTAGTATGCCACTATAATCCATTCGCGCTAAGAAAATAGTGACACATCTATCAACCCACGCACTCAGAACACAGGTCACTATTTTCTTAACGCGAATGGACTATGGTGGCCTTTCCATTCATCATCATCATCTGCCATCCCTTATCCCAATTTTATTTACGGTCGGAGCAGTATGTATGATTCTTCCATTCTACTCCATCATTCCTCATTTCACTGTTTACTTTTTTCCTAGCCATTTCCTTACTCACTGTACATACACCTTTTCTTTAGTATTCCTTTTCTTTTGTACCCTTCAACTCTTATACCTTACACTTTCCTCGCCACATTTTTATCATTTCTCCGCACGTCATGTCCATCCTTAGGTAGCCTATTACTTGTTAACTATGTTAAAAAATCTGATGACAGCGGTCGGATTTAATGCGTAAGCTACTAGCATTACTGACAATTTGCCTCGCCTCGCCTCGCCTTTGGCGCCGCCCGCGTGTATGTCGATTAAGGCGGTAAAAAGTAGCCAATGTCCTTCCTCAAGAATAAAAGTATCTCCATGCCAAATCACATTAAAATCGGCTCAGCGGTTTAGGCGGTTAAGCCGTGAACGCGTAACAGACAGACAAAGTTGCTTACGCATTTATAATACTAGTAACGGTTACTTCTGAAGTTCATGGACACTTACAAGTCAAAAGATACAATTGCGTTGCCGCATCGTTTTAGGTCACCCCTCCCTCCCCCCTCTGGAATAAGTTGCCTCTGAGGGCCTAGTGTAAGTTTCTTTCACTTCTTCTCGCTCGTCAGTGTTCGATTCGACGTTAAGATAGGCCCGCGCTCAAATCTTCACCTTCACAACGCTTAACGCAGTCGCCGTCGAGAGCGAGTCGATGTGAAAGAAACTCACACTAGGCCCTCTGGTAACCACACTCACTCAATGAAAAGCAAGGCAAGTATTGCTTAACACTGGCACCCCAAATCAGGCGTCAAAAGATGTCTAATATATTTTTCAATTACTAAAATGGTAATTACCAACTGCACATAAGCAACGACGTAACTGCAGAATTTATTCGCGATGATGTTCGCACAAGTTCCACCTGTCCTTGGATCTAAACTGCACATCGCCATTTTGAATCTGAAATTAATTAATGGCATTTACATAAACGATTGTTTTACTAGTTAAGTTAAAAAACGGATATCCCAGTACAAAATTTTAGCATTTAAAATGGTCGCTTGATTGTAATGGGCTTATCTTTTAAATGTGAGTTATATTACGAAAACGGTAAGTAAAAAATCTTTATAAAAACAGCCTTCGCTCCACAAATAATCTACTTCTGTTCATTCTTCCTTGCTCATTCAATCTGTCCTCCTCTGGAACGCTCTTCCCCGGGAAAACAGAATGGCACCCAGTCGTTGTTCGTTGAAGGTGAAAGTAAGAGCGCTCTTGATACATACAGAAGCTACATCATAACTAGATTAATACCTAATAAATTATATGAATTCATATGAGCGTGTGGTTCTCGGCGGAGTAGAATAAGGCCCACCAATCTCTTCCCGTGGGTGTCGTAAAAGATAATCCTGTCTCCCGTCCGAGTACTGCGGTAACCCACCTTAATTTTCCTCTCTCATCCAATCCTCACACCCGCAATGTCTCCTTTTTTCCAAGGAGGGTTGGCGACAGGCAGGCAGCCGGCCATAAAATTAATTAGCCAAAAATTTCTGCAGTATGAGTATGATGCAAAGTGAGTGCGACAGTGCTAAGGCATACCCCGTAGGGGACGACAGCAGCACCCGGCTACGCGAATAAGTGGACAAGGTTTGTTGCACCACCCGAGGCGGGTGCAACCTAAGAAGCAAGCCCGAGAGGTTAGGTTGAGGTATGCAAGGTGGAATGTTGGGACTATGACTGAAAGAGCGAGAGAGCCAGCAGATGTATTGAAAAGAAGAAGAATAAACGTGGCATGCTTGCAAGAAACAAAATGGATGGTTACGAGAGCAAGAGAGATAGGAGGGGTACAAATTCTGTTATTGTGGAAGTGATAAAGTTCTTCACTTTCAGGGATACCTATCATAACCATGTCAAAATCGTCCCAAATTTTTTCTTTCACTACATCCTTGCTTCCAGCTTGAGGTGCATACACGCTAACAATATTAATCATCACGCTCTCCCATACTAATTTTAGTACTTTACATTTTACATCTTTCTACACTTTACATCCGTCACACGCTCTTTCACAGCGCTATTCACTACTACACCACCTCCATTTCTCTTCCCATCACTTCCACAACCTCGACCAACATCTTCAGAGGCTCGCGTTAGGCAGTTGGATTAAGCGCCTGATGCAGAAAGCAGTTCTTTTGATACGGCACGTATTGTGAGGAGGTTTCTGTCTCTGGAGTCCTAACCACCGATATCTTCGTCCCTGTACCCGATACCGATGGGATTTTATTGTACATAAATATATTTTAAAAAACCAGTGTGGTGTCGTGGGACACCCGATAGGAACGAAGTTGTGACGATCGAGTAAAACTGATTCGACACGATTTTAATTACAACGCCATCTATGAAAGCGGCTATTACCTACATATTTTTCAGTTGGTTTTTAATTAAAACAATTAATACATTGGTAAATTCTCCTTGAGAAATGATTTCCTATCTATTCGATAGATGGCACTGAATGACTGACAAGTGACAATTCAAAATAAATACTGAGATGAAAAGTATTGATTTCCTATCTATTCGATATATGGCGCTGAATGACTGACATAAAAAGTGTCGTTACAACTTTTCGTGAGATTTTTTTCCATCTAGCCCCCTTTCACAACGCGCGATAAGGAACTTCGTTCCAAAAAATGTAATTTATATGTAGGTATATTAATGTAATAAAGAGAATAATAATAATTGTTTAAATAACAATGGCAGGCGTAGAGAAAGGAAATTATTTATGGAGAATCCCGCAATTCAACAACCACGACAGGTCAATCGCTCTTCTCCATTGCTCCTCCACGACAACGCGCGAGCTCACACTTATATTAACTTCCATAATACCTTGCTGAGTTGCAAGCGTTCAAAGGCGGCATTGGTCACTTTCCATCAGCCGACCTGTCTGCTCGTTTGCATACTCTTCCATAAAAAATACACGATTTTAGTAAGGACTAGCTGAGACACGCGGTGTTACCCTCGTTTGTTGTTATAACCGCTTGCAACGCCGCAAAAAAAAAAGTAGCCTAAGTTACTCCTTAAGTCATCAGCTATCTGCCAGTGAAAGTCCCGTCGAAATCGATCCAGCCGTTCCAGAGATTACTCGGAACAAACAGACAGACAGACAAAAATTGTAAAAAATGTTATTTTGGCATATGTACCGTGTAAACAAACATATGCATTTAGGAAAAAGCGTTTATTTTAATATTACAAACAGTCCCTCCAATTTTTTTTATTTGTATAGATAAAGACGAGAAAACAAAATGTTCAACCAAAACTAAATTTTAAATTACCTATATCAAAACCAGTTTCGTGTCACGATAATATTATAGACTTTTCCTGCTTTGAAATTAATACTCTTCGCTGGTTAAACCCAACGCATTCCATGCGTAATCATATGTTTATTTGAATCTATATTTAAATCTTTATCAAACATCATACATCATCAGCTTTGCTTTAATGTTATAATCAAAATACATATTATTAATTACATGTATTAAAAGTAATATAAAAATTATAAACTGCTCAATGGTTTAATTTTGACGACCGAATGGCGTAGATTCCCGCTCAAGTCAAACATTTGTGTGCATGAACATTTAATGTTTGATTTGGTCTGGGTATTTCAATGTAAAATAAGTATATATTTACAAAAAAAGTATGTATGTATTTATATCAGTTGTCTAGTAGCCATAGTACAAGCTCTGCTTAGTTTGTTGTAATGTGGTAAAACATAATAATTAGAGTTTATCTGTTACGCTTGACCACGAAATATTTTATATTCAATACTTATTTTAGTTACTAGGTATACATGGTGATCATTGGGTGGTTTGAACTGATGTAACTGATTTAAGCTGTGTTTTAGTATTTTAAATTTAATCAAATACATAAAGAAAAGAAAGCGTCGAAGTTTAAGATCACTTATTTCATAACAAATATAAATGTTAATACTCACATTATTTAATAATTTAATAACTCACTACGCGACCGACCCACACTGGCCACCGGCTTATACTAAACATAAACATTACTCAACAGTTGAAACTGGTTTTTTGCAAACAGTTATGTTAGCAGTGCTTTGGTATAAACGTCATAATGGCGGGACCAACTCTTGTAATAATTGAAAGATTCTACCACGTATTTAGTATCCTTGTTGCTATATTGTATCTGTCCTTAAAATGTTGTAACTCACACGGCATAAACGGTTTTTCACGCTAACACTGTTCAAGCCATTATGGAGCGTTATAATCCGAAACTACAACGAATTATATAATTCTTACCAAACCAGTATTTAATACCTTTAAAAAATTAACAGTGGTGGAGATCTTAGTGGCATCTTTAAAAAAATATTTTTTCACTTTTGTAATTTTTTACGCCTATGCAATTTTGCGAGCAAAAATACTTCAAGTAAAAAGCTACATTATTAATTATAATTATTTTATTAATACAATGATAACTTTTAGTGTTAGATAGCCCATTTATAGAGGAAGGAAGGCTTCATAGAATATTTAAAGAGGCACAGAAGAAGTCGCGCATATCAGCTAGTTGTATGTTTAAAACAATAACAAGAAACCTGTTTTGTTTTCAATCATCAATCATAATCAACAGCCTGTAAAATTAACATTGCTGGACATAGGCCTCTCCTTAGAAAGGAGGTTTTGGCCTACTATACCACGCTGGCCAGACGGGTCGGTATAGGGTTTGTTTCAAGTTTTCCTTCGCTTTGCAGTGCTGTTGTCCTGCGTAGTTCGCTCCCTTAGTCGCCTCTTAAGACACCCACGGGATGAATAGGGGCAGTAACACTTCCTATTCTTAATCCGTCACCACATGGATAGCTAAGGACATTATAGAAATAACAAGAAAATCTATATATTTACTGTAATAAAAACAACAACAATACGCTTTTGATATTATATATTTCTATGTTTAACAAATTAACTTAAATAACTACAAAACAAATGGGTTTTAATACTTTCTATAAGTAAAAAAATCAGTCCTTCTCTTTGAACTTACAAAATTAAGTAGTAATAAACAACTTAAATATATATTAAGTGGGATTTACGTCCAATCAGTAACTTCCTTGCATTGTTATTGTTAAAATACAATACAACAAAGGCACCAACGCCTCTTTGATGCTGTTTTAAACACAGAACAGAGATTAAGGACGAAGAAGAACCATTAGAAGAATAAACTTTTTCTCTATTCTCTCTTTTAAAGTATTATTTGCTGAAACAACTAGATCTGTGCCTGACATTACGGCTTATATAGTTTTTATCCTTTCAAAGTTTCTGTTACTATGTAATAATTAACATTACTAAAAAATCAAATCATGTTTATTGTCATTTAAAGTGTAATAATACTGAAAGAAAATATTGTGGTGGCAGTATATTGTTTTTTTAAGTTAGCAACACTGTAATTGTCAAATAGTTTTGAAGTTTAACAACACTGTACTAGAGAATATTTGTGAAAATTCGCACGACATAAAACGAACAAACCGCAATTGTTATTATTGTGATAATTTTTTTTGTTCTCAAAAATTTTTACCCATTTATATTTAGTTCTATAAATTCATAGCACAGTTGTATTGCCCAGATAAGCAATTTCTATTGTAATTTTCAATCACTCTTTCCTTCTCAAAGGACCTCTTTTTGGCATCCAGAGAAACATACACGTATAGTATTATGTTTAAACATAATATAATAAATCTACTTATACCAAAACCTTAACAAAATCTAGGTCAATGTCTTACCTTGAAATACTATTTTATTCTTAGTTCAATGAGGGTCTTCGATACTTTTTCTGCCACCAGACGGCGCTTCGTATGCGTCAGGTCCAAACAGCTGTCAGATAGCACAGATTCTTACCGAAAGTATAATATTTTAGTGACATTCTATGAATTTGGAAGTGTTATTGAGTTTATTATAGATTACGGCCAGAGAAAGGTTGCCGAACTGAAGATTGAGCTCAAAAAGAGAGGCACAAAAGTTTTATTTGCACACATAGGCACTGCACAACACTGTGGAATTTTAGAAATCAGTATTCCTTTTGTAACGTTTTTAAGAATGAATAAACCAAAAAAAATGATCGAAAAATACAAATCGTGTATGTGTTTTGACAGGTGGTTGTACCTGACGCTACAGTGCTGCCATCTCACGTGGAACATTTCAGAAAACCCTCATTGTTCAAATGACAAGTTTTGAATACAACACAATCATAAAACAATCACAAACTTTAATTAGGTACATTAATAATAATATATTAAAAAAATAGTCATTTGTACACTTATCGTTAATAATATTTTGAACTCCGTTGTCATATACGTATCCATACCACGAAATAAGTTTTTTTTTAAATTAATATTCATTTGTCATCTATATGTGACGATGGCGTTCAATCTTCCAAACAATTGAAATTCTTATAAAACATGGCAGCTTACAAAATCAACAGCTGTAAAAAAAATTACTAATATAAATACGCTCATAACATTGAAATCGGCATTATGTTCTAAATGAACGGTTTTAACATCAACAGACAAAGATCTCGAAGAAGACTGTAGTATATAGATTAAGTGTTGCTGAGGATGTATCCTTTAATTACGTGGACTATTTTCCCAATGTCCCCTCTTCAAGAAGTTCAGTCAAGTCAAAAAGATCACGAGCGTGAGAGCCCTGAAAGCTAATTCTCGTCATAAAAATTCAGTTACGATCTTCTCTCGACCTCACAAATGTCATAAAGGGTATTCTCGTAGTAAATTAGTAAAGTATTACTTGTACTAAGACTAGCAGAATACCGATTCAACTTTCGATATATAATACGATATAATCACATGACAGTCGATGTTGGATGTTTTATACTTTACTACTAGAATACCATTTATGTCATTTGCGAGATCGAGAGTATGTCGGAACTGAATTTTGAACGAATTTTTATTATGAGAATTGACCTTCTCAACTAGTAGCATGTCGCAGTCCCCGACGAACAAAATCGTAATAGGAAAATGACAATTTTACAGGAGCAAATAAAAACTGAATATCTTGAATACTATCAAGACTAAAAAGAAGATTCTTTTATCAAAAATAAGGGAATATTTTTTTGCACTAGATTTTTACTAAATTTTTATCATAAATTTTCTTTATCAGTGAGAAAATTGTGAAAATGTCCATTACTGAAATAAGCTATGGAAAAAAATTAACGCAAACTAACTTTACGATAGTGTTCGACTGTAATCACAAATCGGTGTTGCTGTAGTAATCGTTCATTATGATATTGTTCCATGGTAAATATGAATATACTTTAGTCCTTTTTCCCCTGGAACAATATAGTAATAGCCGCTTACTCTAAAATGTTGACTTTTGAGATTTGGTAATAGGTTTTTGCGTTATTGATCGTGTAAATTTTTACTTATGTTATACGTAGAACAAAAACATAAAGATCATTATTGAATGGATAAATCCAAAAGTATTCATCGCCCGATCATAAAAAAAACTCAATGATTGTAATAGGGTGTGTAGATAACGAATCTTTAATAAACCCGATTCTATCGTAATAGCGATTACCATAGTGTTCGTCGGGGACTGCGATGTGATCCCTTGACTTAACCCGTTATAACCAAGATGGTTTGGGAAGCTGGAAGGTTGACTCCTCCTTCACTCTTGGTGAGATTTTATGAAAGACAGTAGTCGTTAAATGATTAATAATTTAAACTTGACACTTTTGATTGTACTCTTTAATTACAACAAGTTTTGTGGTTTTACATAATTAATAGATGCCCTGCTATTTTCTACTTTTATATTATAATATTTTCTTTTCTGTCAATTTTCACCAAAATATATCAAGAACAGGAATTAACCTAACTGTTGTCTCTTGCAGCGAAATAATGTGAAGTTATTCTTTGGATTAAAATAAAAAAGGTTTAAAATAAAGAAGGCGGTACAACCACAAGTTATGCCTCTGTGAACCCGAGACGTTCTGCTGTCAATGGCGGACCCTCAGGAGTGCTAAATATAGCAGGCTTATTTAATGCATTGTCCATCTTCAAGTAATAGCTTCTGATGATCAGCAGGTAGTACACGTGGAACGCTAGAAAAAACATAATAGGTATTAATATTACCATTGTCCTTGTCGTCTGCCGCACTAAATCAATACACAAAATGGCGTCCGGATTGATTTTCCCCACAGATAGGTCTGATCTTCTGAACAACACGGTCCTATTGAGGCCACTGGCTGCAATGCCCTCACAAACCCAGGGAGTACCAGTGATCCCACACAAACTCTCATAGTTAGGTCCTTCCAAACTACCTCAATCACAAAGGGTATTGACTCTGCTGCTAAATTCATTGGTGTTGGTGCAGCAAAGTAGGAGTCGCTGGCTCTGGGGTTGGTTTCGGTGACGTGTTTAAATGCTCAATCATTGGCTATGCACGCAACCCCTCATTGAAACAGCAAATGTTCTCTGGCGCTTTCCATCAGGTCTGCTGTCTGCTCATTTGACCCTCTTATATAAAAAAATAGCAAGGGAAAATGAGCAAGAAAAAGAGTAATAGAGACAACCAAGAGATAATGTCGCATGGTGAAGACGTAACGTTTTTCCTTATATGATACTAGAAGTTAACACATAGAATTCAACTCTATCTCAAAAATTAGTAATTCTAAATTTTTAATATCAATTTTTAAATACAAGCACATTTTCGATTTGTTTTCAAAAAAGACAACTCCCGCACTAAGAACGTAACCCTGTGCCGCGGGGGACTTTACAAATATACATGAAAAGGACACAAAAAGCACTCAGACTCAGAACAATTTGTGGGTCACACAAAGTGGACCCATAACACAGCCAGCTTAAACCATTACGCCATCCGTGTAGTCTCTTACATACTCCCTAGTTATGGCAGTTATTGCTGCTATTGAATCATGATCTTGATATGATTGGTTTACAAGCACTGCTATTTCATCTGCGATAAATCACCACTGTGATTTGGTCACAGAGAAAGATAAAATGCCTTTAAAACTAAAAGCAAAGAAAAAAACAAATACCTAATTGAATTTTCTTTATCAGACTACGACCTTTTTTTTTTATTTAGACCTTTTGCGAGTCAGGCGCTAGCGTAATAATAAGTCGCAGTGATTTTGTAAATTAGTCACCGGTGGTATTATATGATCTGCAAATCATATGATTTAAACAGGTGGTTGTGATTCAATCCCTAATCCTCGAAAGGTTATTGCCGACTATAATTTATAATACTATCTTACGTAACAGAAGGCAAATCTATTGACATCAAGCGGACACTAGGAAAAAAAAAGAGGTAGTAAGATAGAAAGCAATGATAAGGGGATATTGCTGATACGGAGGAGTCGGAAAGTCTTAGCAGCATCTTTAGTAAGTCAAGGTCGCCTACCTTCAATTGAAACAAGCTGGTTTTTTTAATGCCTAATAATAATAATAACTTAACACATCTCACACACGGTAGTCTGATCCCATAACCGTAGTAACCAGACACTGCTGATAAACATTTTTATATATTTGTCAATACATACATATTATAGATAAATTGCACCCAAACAGAACAAATGATCGTGCTTATCACGCAATATTTGTCTAAGGTGGGATTCGAATCTTTAACCTCCGGTTTAGCAGTCAGGGTTCCTTAACCACTAAACCAACATGGCCGTCAATATTATCGGACATTTGACACACAACGCCATCTAGTTTAAAACTAAACAGAGCTTGTACTATAAAAAATAGATTGACTTATAAAATACTAATACACTTTTTTGTAAATACATACATATTATACATAGAAAACACCCCAAACTCCAAAACAAATATTTGCAGATCATACAAATATTTGGTCGGACAAGCAAAACGAGCCTGAGACCTTAGCATAGCAGTCCCATACGCTACCACTGCACCACCGAAGCAGTCAAGAGTGTTGCCGAAGAGTTCAAACCCTTTACCCTTAAAATAGGCTGCACACTTCAAAATACATACCTAAGAATACCAATCCTACGAGGATTAGTATGGGTAGACCAGTTGCGATACAGAGGATGAGAATGAGTAGGACTGCTATCACCATTACTACTAGATTAAAGATGAGATACACCTTCATGTGTCCGTTTTTATACTGAAAAGAGACAAAAAAATACAGTCGAATTGAGAACCTCCTCCTTTTTTTGAAGTCGGTTAAAAACATAACATTATTTACCAAATAATGGTACTACTGTGATCTTAAATAAAAAAAGAGTGTGTGTCAGCTCCGACGTACGACTGGAGTTTTTTTAGATTGACTGATCATCAACAGCCTTTAATAGTCCACGGCTGGACATAGGCCTCTCCTTAGAAAGGAGGTTTTGGCCTACTATACCACGCTGGCCAGACGGGTTGGTACAGGGATGGTAACAGCTGTTCCCGGATCCCTCCTATTACAGGCGCAGAGTGGCACACCGTGTGGTTTTAGTCGGTCCGAGTCCGACACACCACCCCGCCGCAAACCCCAGTGGGGTGACGGTCCGAGGGGATTTAAACACGTAAAAAAAAAAGGGATGGTATTTTCCTTCTTTTTGCAGTGCTGGTGTCCTGCGTTGTTTTGCGCCCTTAGTCGCCTCTTACGACACCCACGGGATGAATTGGGGTAGTGACATTTCGTATTCTTAATCCGTCACTACACGGACGTCACTCACTACAGATTGACTGATAAAATACTTTTATTATTTTTTCTTGTAAATACATAGAAAACATGCAAACTTTGAAACAAATATTTGCAGATCATAAACTCATTTGGTCAAATATTACACTATCGATAATTCTATACAAATAAATAAAATTGGAGTCTGTTTGTAATATTAAAATAAACGCTTTTTACTAAATGCATATGTATGTTTACACGGTACATATGCCAAAACACAATTTTTAACAATTTTTGTCTGTCTGTCTGTTCCGGGTAATCTCTGGAACAGCTGGACCGATTTCGACGGGACTTTCACTGGCAGATAGCTGATGACATAAGGAGTAACTTAGGCTACTTTTTTTAGACTAGCTTCGCCCCGCGGCGTTGCCCGCGGTTATAACAACAAACGCGGGTAACACCGCGGGTCTCAGCTAGTCCTTACTAAAATCGTGTATTTTTATGGAAGAGTATGCAAACGAGCAGAAAGGTCGCCTGATGGAAAGTGACCAATGCCGCCTTTGAACGCTTGCAACTCAGGAAGTTATTATTATGGAGGTTAATATAAGTGTTAGCTCGCGCGTTGTCGTGGAGGAGCAACGGAGAAGAGCGATTGACCTCTCGTGGTTGTTGAATTGCGAGATTCTCCATAACTAATTTCCTTTCTCTACGCCTGCCATTGTTATTTAAACAATTATTATTATTCTCTTTATTACATTAAATATACCTACATATAAATTACATTTTTTGGAACGAAGTTCCTTATCGCGCGTTGTGAAAGGGGACTAGACGGAAAAAAATCTCACGAACGTACGTAACGAAGTTGTAACGACACTTTTTATGTCAGTCATTCAGCGCCATCTATCGAATAGATAGGAAATCATTACTTTTTTAGATTAGCTTCAGTCAGACAGCTAGCGGTTATAACAACAAACGCGGGTAACACCGCGGGTCTCAGCTAGTTATACATAGACACAGAAGAAACCATTGAGCTCATCACACAATTATTTGTTGCGGGTGGGAATCGAACCACTGGACCAACTATAATGTGTTATATTAAGTAACAACCTACCTGATGTATACCGATGAGCAATACGATGGTGAAGATCACATTCAGGAGTCCAATCAGAAGTAGAATACAGAACACAGCGATAACGATCCCGGATGCCCTTATTTCTCTACTTATGGCCAATATAATTATCGATATAAGTGTCACTATTATATCCCGAATCTGTAAAGAAATAAAACGAATAAATGTCAAGTCATTGCTACATTCTACATAGCGTTAAGATAAACTCAAACTCTTTATTTCATTCAAAATTTGAAATTGTTTGAAATCGTCTTTTTTCGAATTCGTCATAGATCAACACACACAAAAGCAACAATCTGTGTTTTGTCAAATAGTAAGCAAATAAATTTAACAAAAATTAAACTTATACAAAAACTATGATATACGTGTGCCGATCTACAACCGCCCCTTTCCAAGGGGTTGAGCCTTATGAGAAGAAAGGGCAAACAAACTCATGGCCACTCTTTTGCAATTCACAGATAGATATAATGGAATTATTAAATATACCACAACATTCATAAATAATCTGAACCCATTTTTTCCAAGAATGTTCTGTTTATGTGTTTGAAATTATTTCTCTTTTTTTTCTTTATTCTTCTTTTCTTTTAAAAAGAGAACTCCCGCACTAGTAACATATCCTGTGCCTATACAAACATAGACGAGACGGACACAAAGCACACATACTCAGAACAACAATTTGTAGATCACAAAGTGTTGTCTCATTTGGGATCGAACCCTCAACAGTCAGAGCACACTTCACACTAAGTACGATTACATTACCGAGTAAGCTTTCTGAATGGCAGCCGGCCGTAAAAGAAAAAGCAGACGCATATTTGCAACTAAATGAAGGAGTGCATTAAAGATGATGTGTTGTTGAAAAACGGTACCTCCATTTTGGGTATTAAACCAAAAGGCTTAACTACATTTCGCGAGTCCCACACAAAAGACAGTCCTTTCGAGTTAAGAAAATAGTGACGTATCGATCAAGATCCGTCCCCTGAGGGCTCAGTGTGAGTTTATTTCACATCAACTCGCTTTCGACGGTCACTGCGTTTGGCGTTGTGATTAGTGAATATTTCAGTTCAAGCCAATCACAACGCCGAAAGCCGTCACCGTGACGATCGAGTAGAAGTGGAATAAACTTACACTAGGCTCTCTGACCAATCAGGTTCCTCGAAATGATCGTTATCGTATAGTATTGGTCAGGGTGCAGGCCTAATCAATGTGTCCCTATTTTCTTAACGCGAATGGACCATACCATAGTTTTAATTTAAGGTGTTAGAGAAAACTGAAAAGAAACCTTTTTAATACCAGGGAACAATTTAATCGGTAATTTCAAAATAATATTCTACCGAGAAGAGCTATTCAAGCAGAGCTTGTACTGTGGCTACAACTGATATAAATACATAAATACTTTTTTTGTTGTACATACAATACATACTTATTATACATAGTGTTTCTATGTCCAGACCAAATCAAACATTAAATGTTCATGCAAATGTTTGACTTGAGCGGGAATCGAACCCGCGACCTTTGGAATAATAGTCCGTTACACAAACCACTACGCCATCCGGTTGTCACAAAAACCTCGTAAGTCCTAATTTTTCAGAGTTTTCAGGAATCAATAAACACTATTTCATGCAAAACTAAGTTTGAAAGGACTTTTTTTATGCTTCATTTATTATTGCATTGGTAAAAAAATGAAACCACCTCAAAAACTGTTCTTGACTTATGTTTTTTTTTTGCAAGAAATAGGGGTAGTTGTACATATATAACTTGACTGACGAATGGCGTAGTGGTTTAAGCGGTCACCCCGCGCCGCTTACTACTGCGCTGAGTGTTGTAGGTCCGATCCCCACATGGGACGACAATTTGTTGATCACATCTACAAATTGTTGTTCTGAGTCTGGGTGTTCTTTGTGTCCGTTTGATGTATGTTTGTAAAGTCCCCCGCGACACAGGATATATTCCTAATGCGGGAGTTGTATTTTTAAAAGACAAAAAAAAAGAAATATTTTAGCAGAACAATCGTAGTAATCATATTTTTATTGCTTAATCATATTGCTTTTGCTCACTTGTATTAATGTGTTTTTTTTTCATTTGTTCATATAATTACTAGCTTTCCTGGCAAACGTTGTTTTGCCATTTACATTATTTCAAAGAAAAATTACAAAAATTAATAATTGTGGATATCAAAAATAGATGTTGGTCGATTCTCAGACCTACCCGATGTGCACACAAAATTTCACGAAAATCGGTCGAGCCGTTTCGGAGGAGTTCATTAGAATTTTATATATTAGATACATGTATGCAAAAACCTCTTTACTCACTAACTGTTGTAAATGCAAGTACATGTTCTACGCGGTATTATTTGAAGAGGAAGGAATGTATTGACATACGTGGCTTCTCATCATATTTTCATTCCTAAAGGTAAGGATGTAACCTTACCTTTAAGAAATGATTTTCAGGAAAAAAAAACATGTTGTAAAAAAATATGACAAAAGGTTTTTGAAATGACCGATTCAATGGAGGTCATTTATCATTCTAAGCAAACAATTTAACTGTGATATACTCACCAAGGTCAGGTAACCAATAATAAGGGACCCAATTCTCAGCTCCCCGCAAAAGCAACAGTTGTCCAACTGCAAGGTCATCTTTACCCTGAAATAATTTTTGTTATAGTCCTACAGTCGACTTCAATGAGCATAGCTGAAGGCCAATCCTCGTAATATTTTTTTTTTCATTATTTGATGTCGAGCTACTTTCGATCTCTCAAATGCGATAAATAGTACCGATTCTCGTAGTAACATCAAATGTTGACTGTAATGTGATTATATCTTATTATGACCAAAAGAAAATGAATCGATATTGTGCTAGTCTTACTTTTACTTTAACTACGAGAATATCTTTTATAACATCTGTCAGATCGATAGTAGACCGGAACTGAATTTTGAATACATTTTTATTACAAGAATTGCTCTACAGTAAGCTCTTTTCTTGAACGAATATCAAAAGCGGCATTGCATGGCTCGTATCAAATATAGCTAGGTAGAGGGGGTAAGACAGCAGACAGTGGAGGTGAGCACTGACGCGTCGCAAGAAGTACTCCCTAAACCTATACCTGGGTCACCAGTCCCAGGCGCTGTCGAAGTCGCATCTATCACGCGATGGACCCGGCACCCGCACAATGAATCCATGGGACGCTAAGAAATAGGTATCTCCCTAGAAACTACGAGTTATTACTGTGCCAAATTCTGAATGCCAGCCACTGTCAATTTAGATATAATTTCCAATTATACAGATATTCTAATGTTGCGTTTTTTTTTAGCCATCATCAAAACATAAAATACGGGTGTTTTTAATTAAAATTATTATGTTTAATGTTCAGCCTTTTATTTATAACATACAAGCCCAAGATTTAAAAATGCATAAACATTCTTTATTTCTAACGAAAAGTTTAATGATAAGCTCTTATAGTCCATTTTTATTGTTTCCCTTAACAAATTTCCACCCCCTCCCCCCTTTTTATAACCTTAAGGAATGATTTCGGTAATAACAACTATTTTATATCCTTTCCCACAACTCAAACTGTCTGCATACAAATTTCATCTCAAACGGTTCAGTGGTTATTGATTCCCCATACAAACTTCCCCCCTCTTTTCAACCCCTTAAAGGGGGATAATTACTATCCTATGTCCTTTCCCGGGACTCAAACTATCTCTATACGAAGTTTCATCTAAATCGGTTCAGCGGTTTAAGCGTGAAGAGTAACATACAGACAGAGAGACTAGCTATTGTCCACGTCTTCGCTCCCGCGATTTTTCCTTCCAACCAACCTCCTTAGGGGTGAAGTTTCCAAGAATCCTTTCTTAGTGGGTGCTTACAACATAAACATCATCAGCTGCAAAGTTTAGGCCTTGTGGTGATGAATCATTCAGTCAGAGCTACTTGCCTTGCCCTATGTTATATCCATACTAATATTATGAATGCGAAAGTGTGTTGGTCTGTCTGTTACGTCTTCACGCTTAAACCGCTGAGACTATTTAGACGAAAGGTATCGAGATAGTCAGAGTCCCGGGAAAGGACATAGGGTAGTTTTTATCCCAGAAATGATCCTTTAAGGGGGTGAAAAGGGGTTGGAATTTTGTATGCGTAATCAGTAAACGCTAAACCGATTTAGATAAATGGACATTGGTAGGCATGTATGGGACTTTAGTACCGCCGTTGTTTTTATTTGGCCGGTAATATCATTAACAATAACAGTTTTAATTTTTTTATAACTTTGCGTTCAATAGTTATTTTAGTTCGTAGTTTTCATATAACTTGTACTGAAGTCGATACCAATGACAGCTAGCTGTCAGAATCTAGTTGTCATTACTGTCAACTAGTTAACATCATCTTTCAAAATCATACGTTTATTTTTTTATATTGATTTGTCAATAAAATGATACCCTGACAAATTAGTTTATTTTTCATTTTTTACATAATGTTTACGACTAATCTAATCGGTTTGAATAAAAGTTCGAGATTAGTACCTGTCCTTAAATGAATTGATTTAAAATATTCATTCTTTTATTACTTCGTACCTGTAATCTGTACCGTATACATTATTACTTCCGTGTGGTGACGGATTAAGAATACAGATTGTCACCACCCCTATTCATCCCGTGGGTGTTGTAAGAGTCAACTAAGGGAAAAAACTACGCAGAACAACAACACTGCAGAGAGAAAAAAAACTTGACACAAACCCTATACCAACCCGTCTGGCCAGCGTGGTATAGTAGGCCAAAACCTCCTTTCTAAGGAGAGGCTTATGTCCAGCAGTGGACTATTAAAGGCTGTTGATGATGATACATTATTAATAACGAAATGTTTGTTTTTAACTGCTAAATACAGTAGTCATTGATCTCAATGTAAACATATCGTTTTTTTATGTAATTTACCTATATTTGAAGCATGGCAAGTTTAGAAAACGTAGGAATGCGTTTTATTGACAACACTAGAACGTTTAGTTATTGCAGTTGTAACAATTAATAATTTTAGCAAAGTTCTAAAAATATGATTCAATTTATAAACGGTACGAGTTTCATTATAATCCATTAAATTTTCCTAGGGGTACAGGATCTGCCGTTCTCCTTTGGTATGCAGATACTTTGATTCTTGAGGAAAGACATATGCTACTTCTTACCGCGTAAAGCTATATACATATAAAATTCCAAAAGTTAATAGAAAAATTTACCTAAACAAAAAATTGAGTTGGTATTAAGTTACGGATAATTAGTTGTTGGTTTAAAGTTACTTGTTATTGAATTACTAAGAACACGATAAGGTGAGTGTTTCTTATGAAGTTGAGCATAAACAAAGTCTCACTAAAACTAAAACATTGAACGTTGAAAGGGTCAACTCAGCAAAGCAAATAGGCCGCTGACTACTCGATTATAAAGGTAAAAGGGTTATTTGTATAGATTGGCGTACTGAAGTGTTTGTTTGTATGAAGTGTTATTTGCACGATACCTATACCTAAAAACCAGTATAAATATTTTTGTGTGTCTGTTTGTTCCGAGTAATCTTCAAAACGGCTGAACGGCTGGATTTTTTCTCTCAAAAAACCCCTATAAAATTTTACCCGGTCCGGCAATCGAACCCGAAGCCGGGACCGTACTACAATACTAAGGCAGCGCTTTTCAAATTCAACACGAACGAAGTCGCTTGTACCAGTTAGAGTGTAAATAAATGCCGATATTTGCTCAACATGCTTAGCCCAATGTGTACAGCAGTCTTTAAATACTAACAGTCACATTTCAAACCGCTTTTATGGCGACATAGGTAATTTGATTCGAAAAACAGTAGGTAACATGCTTATTGAGCCCCTATTGTAAGTTTATTCCACTTCTATTCGATTTCGGCGCTGTGATTGGTGAAGAGTTTAGTTCGGACCAATCACACAACGCCGAACGCGTTTATGTTTATGGTTTTTTCGAGTGTGTGAATCACAGAAATCGTAAGTTATTATAACGATTTCTATGGTGTGAATGTTTTTATGTTTTTTTTATAAATCGATATTTAATAATAGGTTAATAATTGAATTGAAATGTTGAGTTGACATTCAATAATGTGCCTCGTAGGTACATGCTAATTCCCGGATCGGAAAGTATACGAGGCACATTTTAAAAAACCTTAATTAACATTAGTAGACATAGGTTTAGAATACCATCACAAATTATAGATTTATTTTCCTGATGTTTCAATTCTAAACAAAACAATCACTTTGTCCCTTTACGAATGTCCCATGATAGTAAATAAATACCACTAAAAAAAAAATTACGTCAAAAAGAACAAACAACGCAAGGAACCCGGCTCTATGATCACCGATAAAACAATGAATTCACAAATTTGGAAGAGTACGATTGATCCGCGTTACAAAAGTAAACTTGAATGAGTATAGGTACTTATAGAACTCAGTCAGGTAGGGATTAAATTATTTTGATTTGTCGTTTTTAGCTATCTCTTATTCTTCAATTACTTTTCTGTTTCACATATTAGGTATCGATTTCATGACACTATGGCACTCACCCATTAATGATAGGTTTCTTAGCTTTATCAATATCAAATCTATGACTATGACTTAAGGATAAATTAAATAAACTCGAAAAACGCTATGACTCGAAAAAATCATTCAATATGTAACAAGATTAATTTAAAATGAGACATGAATACTTAATTAGAAACAGAATTATTAAATTATTATTATTAGATTATAAAGATTCCAGAACAATCCAGAACAACTCTAAAATGAGGTATCGGTACTTACCACAATACGCTTTCAGATTATTTATTTGCAAATTCGTCTAATACGGACACTTGTACCAACACGACTTGCACACTTGCACTAACCGTCACAATGAAAGGCCAAACCTCCAAATATTTTTTGTTATCCTTATGAGTTATGAAGTAAGAACTAAAACTGGCGTCTGGCGAACTTTTTCTCATGAACTTTTTGTCCCCGATGTTTTTGTCGGTCCTCGAAAACTTTCATAAATTATTAAAAACATGCAACGTGCAACGGTGTTTTTTTTTACTTTACAGACAGACCTCAGTCGACACTTGACACTAATTTATAATAGTCGCAATCTAGAAGCTGTCTCATAACTTGCTCATTTTATGACTTTTTACTTCAAAAACAGAAATTAAATGAAATCTAACCCTAAATATTTGAACTGCATGACAAATGGCGCGCAGCGCGTTAACGATTAATGACAATTGACAAGTCAAGACTCAAGACAAAACACTCCACTCGGCACTCGGTAATAATTTGCCATAGAGTCTGAAAAACAGACTAACAGACACGTTTTGTTATAAGTTCTGATATTTATTTAAAAATGCAAGATCGGTTGAGTTGAAAAATTTTGCATTTTGCATTGCAGGTGCATTTTTTGTAAATGGAGGGATATAATACCTAAGACACATTTTAATAGTCCAACCCCTAATAATCTACCTAAAAGACGTTTTTGTTTTATTTTATGTTGTCGTATGTAAGGCAAAATCTTCAGTTTATTAATATTTCATAGATATTTTCTAATTTAATAAATTTAGGTCCTCAAAAAAACTATTGTTATTTTATGCTTTCTTATTATAAAGCATATAAATGGAATCTATTGAAATCAATAGAGGAAATCAATTCACCTACAGTCAATCAGTCTATGATGAACTTCAGAAATTCAGTGGGCTTATACCTATTGACAGGTCTGCAACATTAATCTACAATAACATTTCGAATTATGCTTTATTTCTTTCTAGTGCATACACCTAGCCAATTATCAGAATGAAATAGACATTGGGTAGTTCAAAAACAGTCTTGCACAGAATGTACGTTCATTTTTTGACTTTTAATTATTCATAAATTCATAATAGATTATTAAAATAGCATTCTGCAACGTAAGTAGTAGATGTATGCTTTTTTACTGAAAAATAGACATGTTGCGATTTCAACTGTTTTTTAATTTCGTAAACAGTAAATTGAAATGATCACGTATCGATGCAAAGTATGTGCTAAGCTGTTCATAGATGGCGTCTATTGCACTATTTGCCACAATGGTGCCAAGTTTGTGTTCGGTAGTGTTACCTAAGTTAGTTGTTGGAAACTTGACAGGAACAGGATCTTTCATATGATGATGTCATTGTATTTTTTATGTTACCTATAGGGGTCACGTAAACCGGGCACGCCGTCATCGCGGGGGTAAGACCCATTATGGAGGATTGGCTCGAGAGAGTCGAGAGGCATCACGGGACCCTCTCATACCGACTGACGCAGGTGATCACTGGGAAAGGATGTTTCGGGGATCACCTGTCTGATCCGCAAGGAGCCAACGCCTAAGTGCCACCACTGCGATGGTCGGACCGTGGACACGGCGCTCCGCACGCCCGGCGTGGGTGCAGCAGAGGCGAGACCTCGTGGCGGCCATCGGAGTGGGAGTTCTCTCGCTTGATAACCTGATTGCGGCTAACATGCGGAGCGAGAGTGCGTGGATCTCTGCCGTCTCCTTCTGCGAGCAAGTTATGCTTGCGAAGGAGATGAAGATTGAGAAGAGGATAAATACATTTATTACATACCTATGTGATTTGGGTGTTTTCTATGTAAAATATGTATTATGTGTTTACAAAAAAACACACATAATATGTATTCTATCAGTCTATTCTATCAGTCAATCTAGGTATCATAGTACAAGCTCTGCTTACTCTAAAACTAGATGGCGTTGTGAGTCAGATGTCCGAATATGGTATTTAGTATTATTGATATCATTTTATTTTGCGGCAAAAATTTAATTCATTTAACAATTTTTAGCTTTCACTTATCTAAAAAGCTCTATTTCATCTTTCTTAACATTAACAATATATTCTGCAGGAATTGGGATCGTATAACTGTCGTAAATGGCGGGTTTATTCGAAGGGTCATCCATCTTTAAGTAATAGCTTCTAATTATCATCAAATTGTACATGTGGAATCCTGCAAAGAAATATCAATATAAATGATATAAGTAATCATTGAAGTTGAACCACTTTGAAGATTCATGGATCTGTAGTAGTTCTGACAGTTTTCACTAGATGGAGCTACTTTGTACAAACCGCACATATTAGTTGCGCCCTTTGAGGTCTCCTCTAGAATTAGACGGAGGAGGGGTTTAGGCTTACAACGGTATCTAACTCCGGTAACAACATCCGGAGAATCAACAAAAGAATTGCTCACTACCGGTTTTCTCTTATTCCATATCGGTCGAGACGTCCTTTTTCTGCAGAGGTACGGCAGACTTCCCCACGTAAATAGCATTTTATTTATAGTACATAGTGTATATATGTAAGTTAGATCTATCCTTAATTAATAAATTTAATATAGAGAAGTCAAATTCTCTGTTTTCTCTTGCACCTACAGCATCATTTTTCTACATCACCCGAAGTCTAGATAGACTGTCAACGCTGTGAAAGCGTAAAAGAAAATTATTTTCAATAGTTGCAATGGCCACTGTGGAATCGCCATGAATTTGGAGCTTTAAAAAACGTAGCTGTCAGTACTAAGAAAATAATTTTAAAAAAATGATGTTATAAGGTTGTAGCAACTTTGTACTTACTACGGTGTATAAATGATATTTATTTCTGTGAGTAAATCTTTTCAGATATTTTTAACAAGTCGGACTTTACTGCTAGAAGGAGTCGGCATTTCCTAAGACTCACTCTGGGACGGAACGCCGAAACAAACGAGAGAGGTTTCTCTTTTTAGTCCGAAAACAAAGTCAAATAAAGCTGTGATAGTACAGTGTAGGGTCTGGGTAGGCATTTTGAAGAAAGGACCAGTCTTGAGTCTTAAGCAAACGTAAAAATATACATACCTAAGAACACCAGGCACAACGCTATCAGGCCAGGCAGCTCTGACGTTATACAAAGCGTGAGTATTAGTACTGATGCTACCACCATCTCAATTACATTAAATATGAAGTTCGTCTTCAGATATCCCACTTTATACTGAAAGTTGATAATGGCTGCGTTAAATTTCTTCATTAAAACCACAACTCCCACTCTAGGAATATATCCTGTGTAGCGGAAGACTTCACAAACATTCATGAAACGTACTCAAAGAACAACAAGAATCAGAACGACAATTAATGGTTAACACTAAGTGTTGTCACATTGGGAATCGAATCCCAACACAGCGTCGTCGAAAGGTAACCTCTTAAACCATTACGTCATCAGTGCATTCAAATTTAGTTTTGTTCTTCATAAAGAATGTTAGAAGAACCATCAGGCAATAATTATTAATCATTATAATGAGTAATATTAACATAGGTATTTCGTAAAAAGTAGTCTATGTTACATGCTGATAATGTAGCTTTCGTAAAATCGGTTTAGTGGTTTAGGCGTGTAAACGTAACAAACAAACAAACTCACTTCACACTTATAATATACCAGCTTTTGCCCGAGCCTCACTTTCACACTTATAATATACCAGCTTTTGCGTAAAAAGCAGCCTATGTTACTCTCTGATAATGTAGATTTCCATTGGTGAAATAATTTTTAAATTGGTTCAGTGGTTTAGGTATGAAAGCGTAACAAACAAACAAACTAACTCACTTTCAAATTTATAATATAATTATGGGAGTTTGGAAATGTGAGATATATAAGTATGTGACTCCTACCTTATGTATACCGATGAGCAGAACTATATCCATGATCACATTTACTATGTTGACTACTAGAAGAATACCAAACACAGGTATCATTACCCTGTCTAGCCATAACGCGTACCGTGTGCCGGTTAACGTCAGCATTGTTATTGATATTAGTAAGAATAATATATCGCGAACCTGCAAATAAAGAAAAAAAAAATTTTTGCGGATCGTCCTGTCACTATTAACGATTTTTTTTTGCAGTCTGAAAGAATCTTTTCCTGTCTTAGACAACTAAACTAGACACTGTCTAGCACACATGTGCTAGATAGTGTCTAGTTTTTTTTAAGAGACTTTTTTCCCCGCGGGTACTCCTCGGGTGTTGGGGTGATTATGTCGGACTCGAACCGGCTATTAACTATTGTTGTGGATTCGATCACTGCATGGGACGACACTTTGTGTGATCCACAAATTGTTGTCCTGAGTCTGAGTTTTCTTTGTGTCCGTTTCATGTGTGTCCGTACGCCGTCTCGACTACTAGTAACCGGTGAATCAGGTGTAACCTAAGTGCTTCCCCCCCGAGAATCAAGGAGGGGAGTGAGGTTTGGGTCTTGTGTTTCACCGAGTGACTAGGTCGTTAACTTCACTCATTCGGTGAAAGGTATGAGAGAATTGCTTTAAAGTATTAACACCGCTTATCTCTGATCTCTTGGTCTTGGTCTCTGGTCTCTTGGTATCACGTCTGTCGAGCTACCCGCATATGCCGAAGTAGGGCTCTCCTCAGTTTAAAGTCAAAAAACAAAAAAATATGAATTTATGAATGTAGATTCCCTTACCAAGTTTACGTTAGCGATGACCACCGATCCAGTTCGAAGATCGCCGCAATAGCAACAATATTTCAATTTGAGTTTACTCATTTTACCCTGGAATACAAAATAGGTATGATATTAATACTTTTCATTATTAATTTAAACCGATTAGAACACAATTCAAAACGACCCCGGAAATGGGAGCTAAGAGGGAGGGGGGGGGGGGGAATTCATACGACGTAGGTATACAAAAGTTGTGGCGGAAGAATGCAATTGCGATTTTTGCTCCGGCCATTAGCAAGGAGAGGAACACCGGGGTGGTTTTTCAAGTAAAAACTTCTTTATTTTTGAACAACAAACAAAATAATATATTTTTTGCAATGGGAAAAACCATTGAACTCGCGACACTGTTAAGTATCTACATATATTAGCCCCGTTTACACGAGAGTTGAGTTTGGGTTGAAATACATTGACAATATAACTATATCAAATATAAACATAAATTGTATAATCGTACAACATAGATATACATATATTCATATCGGAACTTTTTAGTGTGCCACTGTTATTTTAGTCTTTAAGAGTCATGTGCACAACTTACAAAAAATAAACTTGAGCACATCCGGCTTGTTGGATACCTTCTAACCTCTAATGAAATCATATAACATATAAACACATGTGACCCAAAAATACTTGTTTTACATTTTAAATTAAATTAATAAAAAACTACACGAAAACATCACAGTTCAGTCAAACGATAATAAAACAAAAACAATATTAGCGTATAATGGTATCCAAAATATGCGAAATATACACAAAAAATAAAGAAAATAGCAGAAAGACGGCCGTAATGATGATCCGTATAAAAAACTAGATTCGAAATGTCACACCCGTAACATAACTAAATCCTCTACCTAACTGCGCCAATATAATATAAATACAATTTTGTTCATTACCACACGTGGTGACGACATCGTGTAACGGAGCGTTGGTTGGAATGATCATGGTCAAAAAAAGTTAGTTTTTGTCATTGGGATTTTCATTATACTAGGAGTATTCGTAATAAATATTTTACTTACGTTTTAATATAACTTTGCAATATCAAATAAAAGTAACTGTTACGTATATTTCACTGTATTAAAGCGACGAACTGATTTGAACTAAAGCGAAGATTTTATATTACTAATTAAATAACACAATTGAACAGGAAAAGATAGATATAAACTCATAATTCTGAAGAAATACGTTCGTGTATGCACGTCTCCTGTCCTCGTACAAATACACCAACGTTGCCTGTACAAAATTGTGATGCCCCCATTTTAGGGCCAACCTGTTTTCGCGCATTATGTTTAATGGATTCCCCAATGTTACGTACTTACATGGAATAGAAGTGGGCGCCCTAAGGTTTAATGTAGCCCAAATTCTTTACACTAGTGATTGACCAACAGTTAATTTTCGACAGTTATTAATGTGGTCGAAATTTAAATTGGAAGTTTTTTTTTATATTATATTATATCATACATATACATATAATAGACATACAAGATCTGAGGCTTTCTGTAAACATTTTATTTAGCACATTGTTTTTAGTAATGATATCTTTCTTAAACTACTTTTTTTATTTCCTAAATTGACATAATCTGCTCTTTCTCTGAAATTTTAGCTTTTTTTATAGTTGACATAATTTCATACTTTAGGTAGATATTTAAAATGTTGCGATATAAACAGATACATAGATATACAGACATACGGGTATAGCTATATTAGATATTAGACATGGAAATAATTGCTACTAATAAATCATATTCATTTGATGCTATGTTTGGTTTTAGTCACAGCGATTTCACACGTGATTGTGATTTCGACATGGACAAAGACGTAGCATTAAACTCAATCAAAATTATTTTCTTCTTAGCGCGATTCTTTTTAGCGCGAGTCTTTTTAGCGCGAGTCTTGCGCTAGCTTAATAATAATAATTAATTAGCAGTGGTATCGTAAATCAGTCACAGAAGTGATGAAATGATTTTTAAATCATTTGATTTATTACATGTGATTGCGATTTCATTCCTTCCCTATTAGATATACAGATTTAACTGTAGAGCAAAGGGTCTATCTCTTGACAGCGCTGTCTGACTACAGATTTGGATTTGGAATTGATACAATTCAGTGTCTTCTAGATGATAATAAATTGAAACTCATATCTTCTTAGTCTTCATATTTGGGACTAGATGGCGTTGTGTGTATGAGGTAGAATATATTATAGAATATATTGTATATATTTTCAAATTAAGTAACGTATGTACTACTGGTGTTGCCAGTTGTCAAAGAAAAGACTCCTTACATGAAAATGTTATCGAAAAATAATGGCGCGAAAATTTGGTTGAACATTTATTTGACAGTTATTATTTTTTCACGATGGACACATTATGCAGCGTAGAGGTAAGGAAAACCATCTCTGTTTATAAATAAGTGTCCGTAAAACGCGTTCAATACGGGTGGCGCTGGGGTAGCCTAAAATAAATTTTAAAGAAAAAAGTAATTAGAATAAGATAGACTAATAAAATCACGCATGCTTACAGCTGTTTTTTGGTTATATTTACTAAATTATTTTAGACTACGTAAATAGGGTTTGTATACTGGCATTTTACTAACTACCTATTCTAGTCAGGATTTTTTTATTTAATATATTAATAATATTTGAACTCAGCACACTTCACTCCGTCTACAACAGCTATGTTCATATCGTAGTTTTTCGTACGCCAGCGACCTCTATTTTCATAATACAGCTGGACACTTTATCAACTTTCCCCCATATGAGGCATTACCTCTACCTTCCATAGGACAAACGAAAAAAACATGGTTGACAGCCTAATAATCATATTTAAGACACTTTTGCTATGACTCAAGTTTTGTTTTTATTGTATATAAACAATTATTTAGGTACTAAATAATATTTAAAAAACGATCATATCAGTTGTAATGACTAATGCCAGATAATAAAGTAATTGATGCCTTGTATTGCTACCATGGGAATTATCTTGCAGATGACTAAGAATGGTTCATTGAGGAAATATTTTACTATCTCAAAGTAATTTTTGAGTGTAGATAATTGAAAACGAATTAAGAATACAATGTGTCACCTCCCCTATTCATCCCGTAGGTGTTGTAAAAGCCAACTAGGTTTCCAACTACGTAGGTCAATAGCACTGCAAAGAGAAGGAAATCTTGAAACAAACCCTATATCAAACCGTCTGGCCAGCGTGGTATAATAGGCCAAAACCTACTTTCTAAGCCCTATATCCAGCACTGAACTATTAAAAGCTGTTGGTGAGAATGGAAAACTGAAAAAGTAAATATAGAATTCGTAGCAAAACAAACTATAGGTACCTATGTCATGTTTAAAATACAATTTTAAGTTTTAAATAGTAAATGACTTTTTTTTTCAAAAATTATAATAGATATTTATATACAGACATCAATATTTAATTAATTTAGTAAATGAAATTTAAAACTCGTGTAAAAATTGTGTTCAAACAAAAATTCTACTAACCAAAATAGTGTTTATTAAAGCGATTAAAGTGAATTGCATCTTTCTTATTCTTCAAATCAATAACAGGTTAGAGAGGTAACGTATGCTTATCTATGTTATAGATGCTTAAACAATTAACTATGAAACAATTTACATGCACGGATGGCGTAGTGGTTTAAGCGGTCGCCACGCCTCTTCCAACTGCGCCGAGTGTTGTGGGTTCAAACCCCACATGGGACGACGCTTTGTGTGATCCACAAATTGTTGTTCTGAGTCTGGGTGTTCTTTGTGTCCGTTTCATATATGTTTGTAAAGTCCCCCGCGACACAGGATTTGTTCCTAATGCGGGAGTTGTCTTTTAAAAAAAATAAAAAAAAAGAAATAAAAGAAATATCTCTTATTTTCCCTAACTATCTGGGAAAACACCGCGAATTGGTAACACTTAGCTGCGCCTGGCTTGCTCATAATATATTAATAACTTGCGCGCAACTCAATAATGCGAACACGCATTGTATTTTGTCTGTACATACTAATATTATAAATGCGAAAGTGTGTCTGTCTAACTATTACCTTTTCACGCTTAAACCGCTCAACCGATTTAAATGAAATTTTGTATAGAGATAGTCCGATACCTAGGAATAGACATAGCGTAGTTTTCATTCCAGAAATCATACTTTAAGGGGGTGAAAAGGGTGGAAGTTTTATGAAATTTGGTATGGAGATACTTTGATTCTTGAAGAAAGACATATGCTACTTTCTACCGAGATAATCGACATTTACGGAGCTGAGCGGCGCTCAAAAGCTAACACATAAGTCCCAAGGCGATTATAGTTTCCTATAGCGTCATTTTTAATCATCGTGTTACAGTAAGATTTGGTTATAAACTCATAATTTAGGGTCACTGTGTAGCCGTAAATAGGTAAATTAAATGAATGAATAACAATAACTGCACACATCCCATACAGGGCTATCTAATCCTAAACTAGACATAGCCTGTGCTATGTCCATTGATAGTTCATTGTTTATTTATCAGAAACCATCTTACAATTGTGTTTGAATGAATAATAATAAATTATTAAGGCGTGTCATGGTTTAAAATTATTACTTCAATGTTTATTATTATTACATAGGTTATTATGAATTCAATTGCATATATTTTGATTCTGATAATAAAAAAAATGATAATAAATTGTACCTAAGTACCAATCGCCGAAAGTTCATATTTTATGTTTCATTTTCACTGCGATTTTCTACCCACTTATAAAGTACGAAATCGTTGGTGGTTTACCTACGTTATAAACATAAACAAATTCCTTCATGAACCAATACTAGCCGCTAATACACGTTCGCATCGTAAACTTGTAGTATTTATAGACTTGTGAGTTGAACATAGGTGTTGCCAACATGTGCAAATATCCCACATCGGTGGGAAATTTTGTACGCATGGCTCTCTTACTCGTAAGTTACATTTTAATGTCTGTATGTACCTATGCAAGTATATATGTTTGTGTGTTTGAGTACATGACTATGTATATGTATACTTGTCTTGTTGTCTCTTACCAACTTCTCAATTATTGTC